GCAGAGTGATTCTCATGTTCGTGTTACAGTTAAAGAGCTTGATTTTCCAGTGATGATCCCGGATATTGTTCTTACACGAATTGTGGGTTCCTGCAACGGCTTGATATGTCTACAAGTAAACTGCAACAAAATTATCATATGGAATCCTTGTACTGGGCAGTCCAAGGTATTACCAAAACCTCTTTATTCCGGTTCGCTGTTTTATGGATTCGGGTATGATTCCACCACGGATGATTACAAGGTAATCCGAGGATCGTCTAAAACAACACTTGGTTCTAAAGAAGTCACGATTCAAGTTTTCTCACTCAAATCCGATTCATGGAGGAGTGCTGACGATGATCACGAAAATTATATTCACTTGGAAGGGAAGGGTTGCTTCTTAAACGGAGCTCTACATTGGGTAGAAGTTAGTATGGTTGCTTCGCGAATTTTGTCTTTCGATTTAGCAGAGGAGAAATTTAAGGAGAAGTTGCCATTGCCCTACCTTGGCAACAAAAACTGTGTCTTTGTGGGAGTTGGTGTTAGTAAAAATTGTCTATTTGTGTATTCTTACCCGTTGGAAATGGATCTTCGGATATGGGTGATGAAGGAGTACGGAGTCGCAAAATCTTGGGCTGAAGTCGTTAAAATTTCTTTGGATCAGATCCTACCTGAAGAGCGCAACGAATCTTTCAAGCCTCTATGCATTTTAGAGAATGATGAAGTTTTGTTGGACTACAAGCGAAACATATTGGCGTTGTATAATCCGAAGGGAAAGACGTTTAGAAACATTGCTATCGGGACTCAATCGGAAGTAGTGGTTTACATGGAAACGTTAGTCTCGCCGGTTACCGGCAGGGGAACGGACATCTGAATCAGACCAAATGTGAGCCCTTGCAATTGTTTCCTTCACACTTTTTGCTTCATTTCCTTCGCACATTAAGCATTGTATTAATTAGTGTATTCGACATGTGTATTTGTCAATTTTTTTTTCTTCCATATATATGATTGCCTAATATGTTCCTTCGCGCTAGAGATTTGATTAATCATATGTTTGATTGCAGACAATTGTGTGTTTTTAGATATAAAATGAGCAGTAGTTTTCAGCTTGGTCAATTTGGCTTGGATAGAAGGATGTACTGAAAACAATGCACGCATATAGCACTTTGCATTACAATATAATGTTATTTTTATTCATTTATAAGTAAGAGGTCTTAGTTTCAAATATTGTGAATGTTGAATTCGATATCAATTTATTTCTCTCACCCCTTATTGTAAAATATTGTTATATCATTACTCGTCTCTACATACGATCTAACTATCAAATTAACTGTTACCATTATCATTTTTTCTCAAATTTTTTTTTGACAAATGATAGGATAATGTACATTAAACTACGGGAAGGGAAATTTGAATCTGGAATCTCAGGTGCAAGGACAAATGCTCTTAACTAACTGAGCTACAAATCACTTGCAAGTAGGAGTGGGTGTGTGAAATCCCGTCCCCGGAATTTCACTATCCATTACGTATCCCGTAATTTAAATTTGTAATTTACCGTTTACGTTATTTTTATTAGTTAATTTTAATTCCGTAAATTTTGGGAATTAAATTGAATCGTTATTGGGTTTGAATTTTTGTAATTAATCTTAAAAATTCGTTGACCTTTCGAGGTCACAATTAATGTTTTCGAATAGATTTCGAAACCACAAGCACATAGGTGAAAGATGTTTGCGAATCAAGATTATAACGGAAAAGTTACAGGCGTTTGGATTCATGTTTTTTTTAAGTGAATTCCCACCTTGTCGGAGGGCTGACCAATCAGACTCAAGGCAAGGAAGCCACGTGAGTGGCTGGGAAGGAAAAAAAAAAAAAAAAAAAAAGAAGCTGCCTGATGGCAGCAAAGAAGAGGGGAAAAAAAAGGAAAGGTGCGGGAGAGTGAGGGATGAGGGCATTGGCTGCCTAATCAGAGAAAAAAAGTATGAACCAATTAGGAGAGGAGGGGGAGAGATGGATGAATGAGAAACAAGGGAAAGGAAGGAAAGGAGGGAAGGAGAAAATGAGGGGGAAAACCGGGTTTCCCCTTGAGTCGTGCGACCCGACCGAGCACCACGGCCAAATTTGATCATTTTTCTGACAAATCAAGGCAAACCACTACCTAGAAACAACTCCCTAGCCTGCCCTCTTCCATTTCCACCCAAAATTAGAAGGAATTTGGTAGTAGTTTTAGGGAAAAACGAACGGTGGTTCGTGTGGGTGTACGGCGGCGATCCGCAAATCGTGAAGCTAACTCAACCAATAGGCTCCCCTCAACCTCAGGAACAAAGCCTAAGCAGTGGTGGAGGCGTCGGAGCGAGTATGGAGGATGAATTGAAGCACACCTAATTCTAGGGTTCCACATGGTTCGTGGGAGGTTTCAGGCGTTTCCTGACCGAATTAAACTTCAGCCCAGGTATGAAAATTGCTCCCCTCACTGAGATCTACTTGCCTGTAAAATTTGGTAATTTTCGAAAATAGTTGAATTTTTCGACAAGACAGGGTAGTCGGCCGCCATGTGCGGCGGCGCATGGGAAGAGACCCCACCTGCCCTTCCTAGACTAATTTGGATACCTTGATTCCATATGTGATGTTCGATTGATGAAATCTCATCATATGATTATAGTTTTGATAGAGACCGCCACTTGGACATTATATGAATTGACGATCTGACTGTTGGATCGGCACTAAATATAAATACGTAATAGTACATAATAATTGAGGATATTAGGAACTGATGGATCATGAATCTAACGTATGGATCTTCTCGGATTGGTTTTGTAAGTTTGTAAAATTGAACGTCGACCGCCACGTAATTTTATCAATTGATGGAGATCTAATCGTTGGATCGTTCCAAAACTTTAGGATGTTGTTCTAGAAGCTTAATGAAACTCTTGGGAAGTTATGAATTCGAGATCTGTGGGTGGATCTTCAAAACTGAGTTAGGTAGGATTGTCGATCTTACAAGTGACCATGTTGACCGAGGGTTAACTTTTGGATAAAATGTTCCGAATCATTTGTAAATGATGAGTTTAGTGTGACTAGAGACCCAATAGAGCCTAGTGGATCTATCTTGGTTAGTGAGCTATTCCAGTTAATGCTTACCTCGATTTACGTGATTGGAACACCTTATTGTGACATGCATTTGTATATTTAAATTTTTGATAATATGAATGATGTCTATGATTATTTTTATGACAATGTGAACCTAGAATCTTATTAGAAGTATTATGTAGATCTTTTATGCTTGTATGACAAGATAGTTAGTGTTCATGATAAGTTGATAGTGCAGGTGCCTACTTTGGAAATCATAGGGATTGAGGTAAGGGTAGATTTTGTGTTGAACTGATTGCACCAGGTAACAGTGGTGCTTAGGCAGTCCTGCTTGATATATCCGCGATGGGGGACTGTTAGGGGTGATCATGCTTGGTATATCCATAATGGGTGATCACTGCCTACGTTATTAGACTATGCCTATGGTTCTTCTTGGTTTATCCGCGATGGGGGACCATACACATTTTAGGAGTGATCATGCTTGGTATATACACGATGGGTGATCACTACCTAGAGTTAGGATGTGGTCCTGCTGGTATATCCGCGAAGGGGGACCATACGTATTTCAGGGGTGATTATGCTTGGTATATCTACGATGGGTGATCACTACTTTCACGAATAGACTATGCTTATAGTTCTGCTTAGTATATCTGCGATGAGGGACCATATGCATCCTAGGAGTGATCATGCTTGGTATATCCGTGATAGGTGATCACTACTTAGAGCTATAGGATATAGTCCTGCTTGGTATATCCGCGATAGGGGACTGATATGGGTTTTCATGCTTGGTATATCTGCGATGGGTGATCACTGCCTACGTTATTAGACTATGCCTATGGTTCTGTTTGGTTTATCCGTGATGAGGGACCATATACATTTTAGGAGTGATCATGCTTGATATATTCGCGAAGGGGGACCATACGTATTCAGGGGTGGTCATGCTTGTTATATTCGCAATGGGTGATCATTGCCTGCACGATGAGATTATGCTTATGGTTATTCTTGCCAGATTCACGATGGGGGACCATACACATACCAAGGGTGATGAGGATTAGTGGTACTTGGGACATTTCAGTAGGTGACATATTTTAGTTGGATTCTGCTGAGTGGTCCGGAATCATATCTTGGTTTGGATTCTGTTGAGTGGTCCGGAATCACCTTTGGTGTCTTAGTTTCGTTGAGTGGTCCGAAATCACATCATTTAACTTGTTGGTTCCTTGGTTTTGATCCCATTCTTCGGAGATGTAGGCTTTGGCCGAACTGTGTCACTCTAGCCCCGCATTTCAGTGTTTTGTACGTGATATTGTTTGGTGTGATTATTGAATGCTGTTGGATATAGTTGTTATGATTATGATTAGACTCGTTGACCAATGTGGCTAGAGATTATGTTGCGCTTCGTTTAATGTTCCTCGTGATGTTACATACCTGTGGTGTGGTTTTATGTTGAGACATAGTGAATTATGTGATGATTGTTCGAGTACAGTGAAGGACGAACTATGAATGACTTGATCCCTGTTTAGGATACGTAGGCAGTCTAACGAGGAGGTTAGATGCAGACATAAAGTATACAAAAATTACTACGCAATTTGGATCGTGAGCTGTGCTTTGCACATATCCTAAAGGCGGGGTATGTTAGATATACGGATACTTGGTGACATCACGTGTCGATCTTGGACGTATGTCGGGATCTGGGCGTGACAGGGTGCTGGTCGAGCCGGGTTCATTTTTGGTGGATTAGGACTCGACTTGTTTTTTCTGTAATGAGCCCGAGCCGGTCCGGGTTTATGTATTTTCATTAGTGGACCAACTCATTTGGATTGTTTGGAACAGTCTGGCTTATACCTATTAACGAAACTCTCAACTAAAAAGAGGTGAAAAGACTAAACTAACTCTGTCAAAAAAGCTAAAGAATGAACCAAAATATAGTTGTGGGCAATAATAAATTAAACATAAATCCCATAAAAACCACCGCAGGTCAGGAACTTCATGTACGCTCTAAAAGAAGTCAATCTAACAGGTGGTATTGCCTATAGGAATAGTCTGTTTTAAACAACATACAATAGCCTCTAAGCACTACATTTTTGTAAGTTAATTAAGACCAACAATAACATCGACTACAACAAAGTTAAGCCGAATAAGGGTTGCCAAGGACAACACCTAGCCTTTCCTTAATAGCACTTGACTCACTAAATAGTCTAAGTTGGTCCATGAAGAGCCATGTGGATCAGTTGCCTTTTCTGCTAGTTTCTTCAACTCCATGGCCTTGTTTTTCATTTTCTTACCCGTCTCTCCCACAATCATCTCTTTGACAATGTTCTCGACGTCGTCTCTCTTGGCATCCTTACTGATCTCCATGCCAATACCCCATTCACTACAAGTATAGAGACAATTTGTTCGTTGTTCGCCGAATAAGGGACAACAGAGCATAGGCACTCCAGCAGACAGACTCTCAATGGTTGAATTCCAACCACTGTGTGTTAAAAACCCTCCAACTGATGGATGGTTAAGGACTTGCTCTTGTGGGCACCAACTTGTTATTAGACCTTTTTCCATAGTTTCTGCCACAAACTCGGGTGGAAAAATCGTCGATTCACCAGCTACCAAATCAGGTCTTATTACCCAAAAGAATGGAAGCTTGCTATTTGCAAGTCCCCAACCAAACTCAATAAGATGTTGTGCCGTGACAACCGCTAAACTGCCAAAATTCACATAAACAACAGAATTTGGCGCCTTGGCGTTTATCCATTCCAGGCACTTTGTTTCTTCTTTCCGCAGACTGTAACCCATAGGCTCCAAAGGGTCTTTTGGTATCTGATTGAGAAGCAACTGGAGAGGGCCAACAACATAAACATGTGGAAGCATAGATGACAAAGCATCCAAAACATCTGGCTCCAACGCATCAAAAGTATGAACAACAACTGCTGAAGCTTTATGAACTCCAACAGCTGCTTCCAAGGTGAAGTTAAAATTGATGTCATTGGGATTAGTAGTTTGAAAGGAAGCCGGAAGATCCCTTAAACGGATAGCTTTTACTCTTAGAATCCAATCTATGACCTTATCCAGAAAACCATTTGTGAAATAACTCTCATCTGCAACGCAACACTTAAATAAGTCAACGAAATTTCATTATTTGTTTAGGAACAACCAGTTCACCATAAAATCAAAAAGTTGCTTCATTAGCATTTATATATCTGACCTTTGAGTGGTGCAAGTCCTTTTTCCACCAAAGTGGGGTATTGCTTACAACTCATGAATCCGACCGCAGCCAAAGTGAAGAACACTGCGATAGGGAGTCCAAGTTCCTCAGCAGCTGTGATGGCAAAAGGCATGAAACCATCTGAAACAATGGAAGTCACAGGAGGTCCAACACTGTTGTTGGAACTCGCCGCTTCATTGAGTTTCAAGAGGAGGTTACGAAATGGAGCCAAGAAATTTTTTCTCATGGAATCACATAACAAAGGGATGTTTTGGGTTGTTGCATCAGCCTCTGAATCTGGAAGGCCATCTGGTATTGTTTGAAACCGAAAATCGGGGAAGTCATCAACAGAATTTGGTCCTAAAGATTTAAGAAAGTGCCTGTGGTTGAACTCCGTATTGACAAAAGTTACATGAAAACCTATGTAGTGTAGGAGCTTTGCTAACTTGAGCATAGCCTTTATATGGCTTTGTAATGGAAGGGGAATGCATACAGTGTGAGGCTTATTACAGACTACAATATTGGAACTCATATCTTAGATTGTGTGGTTTTAACTCACACTGAGGTAGCTCAAGTTTATACGTCTAACAACATTTTTGTGCAAGTCCGGCCGCCATCTGACAGAGTTGTAGAAAGAGACAAGGGTATGGAAATAAATAACGGGTGGCGTCGACGGAGTTTTGTCTATTCTATTGTCATATATATATGTTAAGTAATCTTCAACTAAAGGGGTTAAATATATTTTCGTTCAGAATTATAATCTTACAAAAATAATTCTACTAATAAAAAATTTTAAGATTGAGACTCAAAAATTATTTTTGAGTTAAAATAATTAAATTTAAGTTGAACATCAACCATGCCAACCACAACAATTTTCTTAATATAAAGGACATTTTCTCAATTGCTGGACCTACTACAATTTCTCGTCGATATGATTGCTTTACCATGTTTTATAACTAGTGTATGTCCACACGTGTTTGTTTGTTTTGTTTTTTTTAATTGAAGGAAAGAGGAAGAGAGTGAGAGAGAAAAGGGAAGAGAGGGAGAGAGATTTATTTTTTTATTTTTTTATTTTGTAAATTAGAGATGATAAAATCACCTCTAGGTGAGGATTAAGCAAAAACAACAATTTTGTTTTGTTTTGTGAAGTTACATTATTTTTCTTAATTTTTTTGTTGTGGTACAAAACAAAAAGTTTTTTTACCGTCTTTTGGTTGACAAAAAAAGTTCCATTAATATGTAGTTTATAATAGCTGGTTTCATGTTACTAACATGCAAGCCATTTGCACATCTCCACCTAAATGACCCCCCTGTCTAAAAAACTTGACTTTGTCTCTTCTATTCCTACTCATAAATTTAAAGGAAAACTAATAAAAATTGTTTAAAAACTTTGAGTTCTAACGATAAGGATAAAACAAAGGGTAAAATAAATAGTACCAGGATTGACTTTTTAGTGTAAAAATGTGGTTTTTCGTTAAAGTGAACAGTACCAAAAGCTTTTCGTTAAAGTTTCCTAAATTTAATTTATACTAGTATATGCCCACAGAGGTAGATTTTGCCATCCTGTTTTGTGTGGTCACGGTTAAGTCACGTCAACATTTTATATTTTTTTTTATAGAGATAATAAGACAAAAAGGAATAGTAATATAAAATGTTGACGTGGCTTAACCGTGACCACACAAATAGGAAGGCACGGGAGGGCACGAGAAGTGGGAGGGCAGAGAATCTACCTCCTATGCCCACACACAAAGTGTGTGTGAAGCTTTTTTACTTTTATTTTTAAAATTGAAGTAGAGAGGAAGAGAGGTGAGAGAGAACTGGGAGTGGAGAGAGAGAAGTTAAAAAAAAAAAATATTAGAAATGATAAAATCACCTGTAGGTGTAGGTGAGGTTTAAACAAAAAATAATAAAATTTGTTTTGTTAAATTACGTTACTGTTTTTAACTTTTTTGTTGTAATAGAAGATAAAAATGTCTTTTTACCCTTTTTTAGTTGACAAAAAGAATTTCATTAATATGTAGTGTAGATTAGTGATTAATTGGAAACGATAGTTAATCAATATGTTATTAAAACATGCATATTACTATTTCTTTGTCCTTATTTGGTGGGTAAAATATTCCCAAAATGTTAATATAGTAAAAATAGCTTGCGTGCTAGTAGAATCTACTTGACTTGTGTAGAAGTGAAAATGTTGAATAAGAAAGTAAGTGAGAAGGTTGTTAACATTCTTATGGAGTTCTAGAAATAATTCGTAAAGGGATATGGTCTTTCAATCTTTATGTATTAACTGAATAAATGTTAAAAATATCAACCATTCAAATTACTAATGTGTATAATTTCATAGGCTTTTGTTAATCGTTTATGTAGCATGGGTAGAGCTTACGTTTTGTATTTGAGGATACTAATGTGAGAAAATTAGAACGTTTTATCGCCGTATTGGAAATTAGAAGCACTCTTCAAAGTGCATATGCAATTTAGTAATACTACGTAAATTAATTTTTTAGACTAAATTTATAAATATTATAATGTGTCACAATTAAAAAAGAAACACGTTAATCAGTACTTAAGTAATAATTTAATTATCAATAATCATGTTTTAGAGTACCCTTTGCAATTAGTACTACTGGTAAAAAAACGTGAAGGTTGCTTCTTATCAAACGGACGACGTGAAACTAAGCGTTGTTTCGCCTTCTCACCGACCGGGTCTATTGGGCCGCGGTCCACCGAGAAATTTTTTAATAGCCGTTAGAAAGAAAGAGCTCCCTTACATTTAAACCGACGGCTCAGATTCACTCAATTCAAACCTCGATGCAATCAAAACACTACCCTCACAAATCCCTCCGATCCTATCAACAAACGGTCTCTTTCTCTCTCTCTCTAGCTCTCTGAGATCTTCGTCTAAAATTCACAACCCTCTCTCTCTAGAATTCGCATTCTTGCTGTGATTCGATTCCATGGAAGGTACTCTCCTGAGTGTCCTCTCTCCCCAATTATTTCTTGTTTTTTTATTTAATTTCTCGTTAAATCGTGGAGCGAGTGGTGTAATAATCGCTAATTTTTCCTCTTTAATTCAGATCAAGCGGTGGAAATGTTCCCCAAAACTGCAAAGACTTCGTTCCAAATCATGACTCCAAGCCCTCTTCGACCTCTGAGCAGGTTCCTTTTGTTTTATTTTATTCAATTTGCCCACTTTTTAATTTTTTGAATTACAAGAAAGTGTTGAATTTGAGGTTCGGATTCGATTATTACTGCTTCTTATAGTTTTAATTTTGTTTCCGGTCCAAGAAAATGTAGAATCGGGAAAATTTCCGACTCAATTTCATCCCTCTTTTTTTTGAGTTAGAACTTAAAACCCGATTACAACACGGTTGGACAGTGACGTAAGCGACAAAGGTGGGTAATTTCTGAAATTCTTGGTTTTTTAATCTTTAATTTCTGAAACTTTTCAACTAAACTGTTACATTGTGAATTTCAATTGAGTAGTTGAAGTCAGGCTCTGATTATATCATTATTTTCAGAATGTACTCCTGATAGTCTGATTATATTATTGGTGAGAGTAGCACGTCGAACGGAACTCAACAAGGTTCTCCATGTCAGATGGTCCTTCCAGTTTTCCAGATGATCTCAACTGGCGTATCAGGTATATATAAACCATGAATTTCTGTTTGTTTATTTTGTTTTCATTTCCCCAATCCAATTGATGACTTTGATTACTTCGCCTTCGTGTTCCTGTAATGTCTTACAGGATAGGTTTAAGGACCGGGAATCTTCAGGTGTTGAGATTGTGCCGGTATTATCACAACCCCATGGCTGTTGGACGGGACAAAGTGGTTATATGTGCAGGTAGACTTCACCCCATCCGCCCTAAGTTTCATTCAAAGTGGTTCCGCTTCTGAAGTACAGAATTGATGCTTTCTGTGGTTATACATTTTCAGGCTGGTTTTTCCAGAGCCAAGCAAATTTATAATCCTCTCTCTCCACAGCTGCTGTGCTGTGTTATGCGGGCAGAAGCAGATGACTGAGGTATCCTTACTGTTCTCGTTCACATTTCTCAGTTTGCTTTTGTTACATTTGTTGTCGTTATATTTCAAGTATGCGTGTACTTGTTTATTTGACAATTGGGTTCGTATGAGATCATTTGGCTGAATGTCGATGTACAAGTTTGGTTATGGCCGGACCGGCTGAATCCCTTTTGTCATTTTGCTTGCTCAAAGTTGAACATGGGATTGAAGATAGATATTGTTCTGTGAATATATAACTTCGAAATCGGACAAGAACCTATTCTCAGTGGCGGATCCAGGAAATAATGTTTGGGGGGTTAATAAGGATAGCGCGCGCAGCGCGCAATTTTTTTTTAACAGAAACGGCATGCATATCGTCATTTCATACCTGGAGGAAGAAGCTATGGGCGTGGACGTGTTTCAGATATTTACCGACTAGGTGACTCCCTTTGTTACGTTTACAAACAAATATTCTCCTCTTATTGTACATTGATGAACTGTATTGGTGGCTATACGACCATCATCAGTTCACATGAATAAGCATATTGTTTGGATTTCTGTCGTCATATCCTATCTACCATCGAGACATCTTCGACTTCAGCAAACCTCGGTGCAAACGCATAAGAATATTATGCTGCCATCTTGGTCTTCTTCCTCTAGTTTCCTGCCCTTCTTTGGCCGCAGAATTTTGTACTCGGGTTTAAAATCCTTGTTCAAAGGTCCTGAACGTTCAAACCTGGAGGAAGAGATTGCTTCAACTTGTCGGCCTTCTCGAAATCAAACACACAAAGTGTGTAAAGGTACTTGGAGCACCGAACCTTGAACTTGACAGCATCCTTGGTTCTTTCAGACCTTTCGTCGAACACTTGGTGTGCAGCCAAGGGGTCTCACCAACAGCTCCAAGGGGTCGCACCAGCAGCTCCAATGGGTCTCTACGGTTGTTTCCATGGCTTCCAAGGGGTCGTGTGACCCCATTGACCCCACTGTGGATCCGCCACTGCCTATTCTTGAGTCTTGACGCCACTGTGGATCCGCCACCGCCACTGCCAGACAAGGTGCTACCATTGACTTGTTTACTAGTTTAACTCACAGTTTAGGTGTAAATAATTTGTTGCAACATCACTTATTGTAGTCTTCACCCCGGGGCCGATTTTTGGCCTCTAGGGTTCCTCATCAATAAGAATTTTGCTCTAGGGTTATTCTAAGTTTAAGTAGTAAATATATCTGAAAATGCCGCACGCTTTAATGGTCTTGGACGAAGCCATTTTTTCTTAAGGAAGCAAAGCTGCAAGGCGCACGTTGGAGGGAAGGTTTCTTCATTGGATGATGTTGAGGTCATTCTATTTATGTGAAAAAGGTGACATATTCATACTTGCATGATAGGTGTAAACAAAGAAAAAGAAATATGAGTTTTTGGTTTTGTTCTCATGCTTTAGGATTTGAAGAGAGAGCCTTGTCTGATGAAGTCAAGCTCATTACAAATTCCTTTTCGGACCCTGCAGTTCTAAACACCTTTCAGCTGCTAAGTGAGCCTTTTATTTTAATTACTCTCAATTACTTTCGAACTTTCCTTCTCTTTTTAATTGTAATTTGTTGTTTCTGGATTTACAAATGCCGAAGCTTCATCCGAATTGCCCTAGTATGCCTTCTGAAAACTCACTTTATAACTGCTACTTGTTGTGACTATGCTTAGAAACATGCATAGGAGTTAACTGCTAGATAAACAAGATCATGAATGATCTTAGAGACTTAGCAATTCAATGATAGGCTAGGAACCCATATCTGCTAGTCTGCTTTGACTGTACTCTGCGTGAAATTTGATTGCATTGAACTGCTTAAATTTTTTGCAATATGATAGTCTTAGAACTGCTGTGGTTGATGTGAATGAATGAATTGCTGCTGGATGCAGGATCCAATTTTTCTTTATTTGCCTTGCACGTCTTAGATGAAATAGGGCCGCCTTGTATGTCTTGATTGCAACCTGCAAAAGGCCAAAGTTTTTCAATCAATAACCTGTTTTTATCAACTCAGTTTTTCACAATAGAAGTTTCTCCAAGCAAAAATTTACTTTGAAAAGATAAGAATTTTATCCAACAAAACAAATACTTTTTCGAATTAAAAACACACCTAGGCAAACAAAAATTTTATTGCAAACAAGGATTTTCAACTAGTATTATTGAAAGAAAGCAAAACTCAAAGCGAAATGTATTTTTGTTGGATTTTTTTTCAAAGTGTTAAGAAAGTTGGGCTGCCTTCCAATAAACGCTTTATTTATTATGTCTATAGTTAGACATGGTAGAAGTCTGATGGTCAACTGATTAGTTTTTTCAGAGTCATTGACTCATGTGTGACATCGTATGATGACTGCAAGTATGGTTTCAGCTTGTGATCATTCACTTTGAATGTGTTACCACTTTACTCAGTGTTGCTCGTTCCAACCGGACTTCAACTTCTATGGAAACAACTTAAACCTTAATTTAAACTACAACACTTTTTGCCCTGGTTGAAACTCTTTTCTAAATTTGATTGTCATGAAACCCCTTAGTTTTCTCCTTGTAGATCTTTGCACTTTCAATATGCCTCATTACGAATTTTGTCTAGCTTGTTGAGTTGCAGTTTACGCTTATCACTAGCAGAATCATAGGCGAAATTTAGCTGTTTGATAGCCCAGTAAACCTTATACTCAAGCTCCATAGGTAGATGACACGCTTTCCCACAAATGAACTAAAAAGGAAACATCCCAATCAGAGTTTTATACGTTGTTCTCTAAGCTTATAGAGCATCGTTTAATTTCAGATTCCAGTCCTTGCAAGTGAAGTAGGATGCGCTTTATCTCTTTGTTGGAGTCTTCAATGTGCCTAGATGTCTGAGGATGATATGCAGTGGCTACACAATGGGTTATCCCATATTTCTCAAGGAGTGCAACAAAAGGCTTATCCAAGAAGTGCTTACCTTCATCGATGATAATAGCTCTTGGAATATTGAAATGCAGATAAATCATACCTTGGAGGAAGTTCAGGACCACTGACCTTTTGTTAGTAGGTGTTCTAATTGCCTAGAACCACTTAGAAACGTATCATATAGCCACAAGAATGTATTGGTCCCCATGGGATGATGGGAATGGTCCCATGAAATCAATGCTCCAAACATCAAATAATTCAACAACCAGAATACTCTGTTGCGACATCTCATTCTGCTTAGACTGAATGCTCACTTGTGGACAACGATCACAAGCTTGACACCAATTATTTGCATCTTTGAAAAGTGAAGTCCAAAACAACTCACTTTGCAAAATCTTAGTCGCTATCCTCTTCGGCTCAAAGTGACCAAACGGCTCAAAGTGACCAAACGTATAGTGATGGGCAAATTTCAAAATATGGTGTTAACATTGTGCGCTTTTAGGCGCACACAATGGCGCATACCAAAGAAAAGACCTAAGAGCATAAGGCTCAAGGAGTTCATAGAAGGCCGCCCCGAGCACTCGAGTTGGCTGAGACAAAAATGGAGTTTCCCTCGATTGCATGGAACACGTGAGCAAACTGACAGCTTTATAGCAAAAGCCTCCAAGGGCATAACGACTCAAGTGCCATTTGGATTATGCGGTGGCTCGTAGTAAGCAAGATGCTTAGTATGAGACGTAAAGGTAGTCAAGATAATGCTCGACGAGAAGTGGCAGAGTAATTAAGGTTTGAGTGAGATGCTTGGCTCATTTAGACCTAAAAAGGCATGCCACCCTGAATGGGAAAGGTTCATTCCACTGACGAGAGCTTAGTTAAATAGGTGGAAATGTGTAAGTGAGTTAGTACAAGTTGTTGGCGCATTAAATGCCAATTTGAGAGGCTCAAAGACTGAGAGGCCTATATGAAGAGATTAAGACATGATTTAATATGTGGGTCGGACAATAGAAGAGAAAAAAAGTGATTGTATGAGCTGGGCGCTATTTAGTCTTAAAGCTAATACATTATGAGAATATAGTGGCCATAACCCAATTTTGAGGGGTGAACCCCTTATATCTTTAAGTCCATTTCATTTCAGTCCATATCCTAAGCTTACCCTAAGGGATTTAATTAAGTTTGTTAACCTTACAATTTTGAACGTTCAATCCTTTGTCTGGAAGAATATCGTTCGTCGATTCAAAATTCCACATACCATACTCATAGATAATGGACCACAATTCATTATCCTTGAAGTCACAGACTGGTACAAGGAACTTGGCATTCGCCACTTCACTTCTACTTCGCAATACATGCAAGGTAATGAGCAAGCAGAAGATTTGGCATCATCTATGGGAAACGCATATGATTTGGTTGTGTATTCTACGCTGTTATCTTTGCGCTATAGTTTATAGTCCACCTGCAAGATGACCAATAGTCTCGAGCCGACACACTGAAGAAGAAGACGAGAAGAGATGATTAGGCTAGCCATTTATGGCAAGAAGATGAATGACATACTTGCTGGTGTTAGAAAGATGAATAAGGTGGGGAGCCTCATCCATGCCCAAGACACCTTACTCCAGGAGAAGCATGATGACCGCCTAGAACAAATCAACCAAACGAATGAGAAGATTGACAACACATCTAAGGGAGGGGCTTGTTCTCCTTTTGGGGATGTTAGAAGCTGGGGGAGGGGGCAAAGATGCATGTGAATCAACAAGAAGCTTAGAGCAGAGGAGGATGCTTGGGACGAAGGGGCGAGAGTTATTGAGCAAGCACTAAAAGGCTCGACGGGAACCCTGGTCGGCCCTCTCAACCTGAGAAGCACATGGAGAGAAGTTATGGGTAAGAACATAAAAAAAAGCGTGGGATCGGCTTGGAGACATTGAGTGATTATATATCCAAATTCAATAACGAGTTTGCTAGATGCATAGGATGTGATGAGGCAACAACAGATAATGCCCTCATGTGGGATTTGTTGGAGGTGATTTATACTTTTATCTGACTTGGAATCATCCTGACACTTTCAAGGATTTGCTGTGTGAAGTAACCACTTACTCTTGGGTCGAACAACTAAACAAGATGAGAATACAAAGGCAGTAAGGATTGATCGACTGAGCATGTCGGCTAAAGCCAAGCAGGAAGTTGTGTATGACCGCTTGCCAAAAAAAAAAGGTAACCCAAAGCAGATAGTCACCCCGAGCGATATAACAAGTACAAATTATATGCCCCCATGAATATGTCTTAGGGGAAGATGTTCATTCTTGTGGAGCGTCAACTCCCCACTACTTGAATGGTGTAACCTAATTTTCATGGATGGAGAGATAATACTAGGTATTGCCAGTATCACAGAAACCACAACCACTTTACGGACGATTGCATAAATCTCAAGGACGATAAGAAGTGCTCGTTCAACGAGGATGACTCACGAAATACGTAGCTGATAAATTGTCAGCCCAGTCGAGCTTTGTTTACGTCGAGTGCCACTGCAAATTGTGATCTGGTAGAAAGGAATGTGATCTACACTTTGTTTGAAAGATCTTCACTTTCGAGGAATTCTAACCGATCTAGGGGCAGTTTCGCATACCTACTTGGTCGTATATGATGCTAGTGATAAAGTTCCCAACCTATGCAGGGGTAGGAATGGTCAAAGGCGATCAAGCGTCGGTAAGGGTGTGATATGCGTCATAAGTAAAAGTGAAGACCGAGGTGACAACCAAGCAATTTAAACGAATGTTTGAAGGTCGCCACACCAGATCCCAGTACTTGTTTAATGGTCTTGATCTCCCTGAATGGACCCTGCAAAGGGCTTGTCGAATAAAAAGAAAAAAATTATTGCAAAAATTATGATAAAGGGGCTGGTCTGGTCTTGTACATTGTAGTTGCGATTGCTGGGTTGACAGCCAAAGAGTCTATGGCTGGTCCAGTTTGGTCAATAAGGGTTTCTCCAGCTCTATCTTTTTTATCCCCGCTCTTCTTAGAGCTGTCGTCATCATCCCTAACATCCAGATCATAATCAAGATGAGTTATCTTCACCTTCTTCTAAAACTCCGCATAGCCTTAGAAGTGAGTTTGTTGGTAAGCTTTTGGCCGGCTACCGTTTGGAGGTAGTTGTCTATATATCCTGACTGCCGATATGGGAGGATTCATCCAAGCCCTTTACTACTCGTTCTCCTTCCTAAAGGCCCGAGCAGTATCTTCAACTTATCCCTAGCTCTAGAAGCTTGGAGTTTCTTTGTGGCAGCTTCGCTCATCTACCACCCCAGGTGCTGGTTCCTTTACTTCAGCCAAACACTTTTCTTTTTTACCGTCTTAACTGTCGTCTTGGCGACCCCAAGCTTTGTCTTTTTAGTTTCCAAGGCATCCTGAAGCCTCCTAGGTCTCGCTCGAGTTAAACACTCAGCTTATTTTTAGAGAATCGGTGTCAGATCATTTGGAATTGAGCAAAGAGAGCATGTACAGGAAAAATACTACGAAAATTAACCAACAAAAGAACGTTTCGTAAGCATAAGGAAGTGAAATGGGAAGAAGAACTTCAGCCGGTAGATCAAAGGCAATGGCAAATTGTTTGTGGGCGTTCCCCTTTGTGCACCCTTAATTCATCCACGATGTTCGCTCCCCGAAGGATCTTCTTGCAAATCTTCATGAAGGAGTCGATATTTTGGGGTGAGGCATCTCTTGAGCGAGATACCATTATGGCGATCTAAGTTGGCCAGTCTCCTAATAACTGGGGCTTCTGGCTCATTTCTAGCTAGCGCTTGATCGAGGATTTGCTTCTGCTAGCGCTTAGAATGGTTTGCACCGACGAAGAAGGCCTTGATCGCTGAGCTGAATGCCTGACCTACTTTCTTTCCCTCATAGCTCGGCGGGTAATCTGCTTGCAAAGTATAAATTAGTTAGAAGTGAGTCCATTCAGACCAGGGACAAATATTGAGAGATCATGCAATTTACCTCTTAGAAGGACAACCGGTTGTAAACAGGAGTCGGTTATGATAACGCTAGTGGAAATTTCTCTAGAAGACAAATAAGTGATGACAACCAACTGAAGCTATTCCTCTTCGGAGCCCAAAACAGTCAATTGCAAAGAAAAAAAAGGGAAATTGTATTTAAGTTAACATACTACGAGACACTAAGATATGAAAGAGGCAAACTATGTTGTTACAAGCTTTATTCTTAAAGCACCTAACAACCTGAGCGTCTATTGCTTCTACCTTAGCTGGGTTTTCCCAGTTGCAACTCATAAGGAAGCATTTATCCTTGTAGGGTTGTTGATTTGATGGGTTATCGGTAAATAGTAAACAAGAGCTGAGCACGTGGTAGAATCAAGCCTGGCCAAGACTGTTTTGTAGTTTATAGTAGTTTTGGATAAGGGCAAGGTGATGGTCGATTTTGAAAAATTGGTGTGGGTTATCACACGGTAGAGGAAGGGGTGCAAAGGAATGCCAGATTTGAAAAACTCAGCAGAAAAGGCCATTCAGTCATGTAGTGGTTGGCTAGGTTTTTCCCTCGAATCGGGGTTGGGAATATGACATTAAAAGGGATGCTATACTAACGTCTTAACTCTTCTAACTAAGCACCTGTGACCGAACCTGAGACTTGTAATGCGCATTGCTCGGATGCATTGGGCAAGCCTACACCTCCCATTTGGTGAGGTTTATCAAGTCAACATAGTGCTCCAATAGTCTATCGGGTTTATCGGGCATTCCTCAAGAACAGACGCAGTAGGAGAATTCGTCAAGTCCACTATTGGCAGTTAGGTTTGTGGCCGATGAGGAGGAATAAAGGACGACCCAATCAAAGGCTCATCAAGCGTCTAGAAAGAATTGACAAAATTGGTGGAGTTGGCCGTTTCGCTACTAACTGACTGATCTTTAATTATGCCATTATGATACGCAACAGAACGATCGGCCAATTAAAAGATAATCAATATCAGATTTGGTTCTCCTTAACCCAATCGCCAAAAATAGTATAAGACATTAAATTAATAATACTAGCTTGTCCAGTAAAATTGCACTGCATTGTTCCGTTAGAATCACTTTCTCGAAGTCCACAAGTTTCTTCTTGTACAACATATCCTTCAAAAAAATTGCATATGAAGGAATCATCTTTATAGCATCCAACATGTTGATTTAAACATTCATCAATGGTTGCATGAAGTCCTTCAATTGATGATCTTTGAAATTCGATTTTAACCTCTCGGGGTGCGATGGCAAGTGCCTTCGCCCATGAGCGGTAGGTCTCGGGTTCGAGACTTGGAAGCAGCCTCTCCATAAATGGGGGTAAGGCTAGCCGACATTCACCTCTCCCAGACCCTGCGTAAAGCGGGAGCCTTGTACACTGGGTACGACCGGGGTATGGAAGAGGTGGTTCATAAACACGCCAGGGGTATGAAATTTGCGAAGGACAACTTCCCTTCCCATGAACTAGAGTTTCTTTACATTCTTAACGGTGGTATATCCATGCTTGGCTGCCAAGTTGTTAAGCTGGCAGAGTGTCGCAGAATTACTTGGAGAACAAATTAGTCAGCGCCCAACTTCTGAAGTACGCTTTTGAGGGGTAAGCTGACAAGGGAGATTATGGAGTGGGTTGAAGCAGAATCGGAGCCCAAGGTTGATGATGTGCTCTAAAATGTAGCACCAATATCTTTTGATGAATGATTGCACAAATGGAGAACAAAAGTAATATCCCTCATTTTCCTTTTTGTTGGCTGCTCTCTCCTCACTTTGAAACCAAAAGATTGGTGCCTTATAAACAAAAGGCAACAAATTTTTGTTTATAAGGCCAAACAAATAGGCTGCTGGGCTTATAATATTGAAAGGCTCAATAAGAATGAGTTACCAAACAAAAGTAGCAACAAACTAGTGCCTGAACGTGTTTATGATCCCCCGCTTCCATACCCCAAGAGGTTAAAACCAAAGGTCAAATCAACTTACCATTGTTGGATGCTATAAAGAGGATTCTTCATATGCAGAATTTTTTAAGGACACACGTCAAGAAAGTGATTTTAATGGAACAATGCAGTGTAGCTTTACTGCACAAGCTACCACCAAAAAAGAAAAATGCAGGGAGTTTCACTATCTCTTGCATATTGTGAATTCTAATTTTAAACATGCTTTAAGTGATCTAGGTGTTAGTATTAATTTTAGCGATTGGATAAAAAAGAACTAAATCGTACATCAATTATCTTTCAATTGGCTAATCGTTCAGTTGAAGGTTTAATCATCAAAGTTGACAATGACTATGAACAGTCAACTGGCAATGGCACAGCCAACTCCACCGATTTTGTCAATTCTTTCAAGACACTCGATGACCCTCTGATCAGGTCGTCCTTTATTCCTTCTTATCGGCCACAAACACATAGTAGACTTGACGGATTCTCCCATTGCGTCTGCTCTTGGCGAAGGGTTTACCTCCGATTGTCGTGAAGAAGACTTAGTGCACTATGCTAACTTGGAACACCTCAGCAAAATGGGAGATGTAGGCTTGCCCAACGCATTTGAGCATTACGCATTACAAGTCCTCTAGGTTTAGTCGCAGGTGCCAAGTTAGAAGAGTTGAGACATTGGTATAACATCCATTTTAATGTCATCCTCTAAGCCCCGATTGGAAGGGAAAAACCTAGCTAACTGCCACACGGTTGGGTGGCTTTTTCTGCTAAGCTTTTCAAATCTGGTGTTTGGTTACCTTTGTCGGTTTTTCAAAGTCGACCCTTGCCTTGTCTGACACTACAATAAACTATGAAACAATCATAGCCAGGTCGAATTCTGCCACTTGCTCGACACTTGTTTACTATTTGCTGACAACCCATCAAATAAGAGCTAGTTTCTTACGAGTGGCAACTGGGAAAGCTCGGCTAGGTAGAAGCGACAGACACTCGGGTTGCTAGGTGCTTTAGGAATAAAGGTTGTAACAACATAGTCTGCCTCTTTCATATCCTAATGTCTCGTAGTATGTTATGAGTTTTCAAACTTAAATACAACTTCTCCTTTTTTTTTCTATGTAGTGTAAGATGTAATCTGAAAATCAACAAGTTACTAGAATCACAGATAAAACAAATATAACTACAATAAACCAATCAAACAATTAAAAGGGAAATAAACTTATCTTCCGAAGTGGAGGAAGAAGAAGAAGCCATGACTGCTAGGGTTTCAAGGAGGAACTTCTACACTCTAGCAGCCGAGATTCCTTGTGCACAAAAATAGGGTTTTGCACTAGAATAGGATGATGTTGTGAGTGCAGGGACCTCCTAATATATAGACACTCATCCCTTTAATCCAGCCTATTAACTGATTAAAGGGATATTCCATATCAATTAGGATTTCATTATAGTCCTAAATGGTAACGAACTCTTTGTCAACTAAATAAGGTTTTCATAATTAATTGCACTAAATAAGGACTCCTAAACCTAACCAAATAAGGCTCCATAATTTTCTCAACCATTAACTCGGATTGACCAAGTTACTGTATGTCAAGAAACAGTAAGCACATGTTCTTTGACACTCACAACTTACATTCTCCCACTTGAGTGTCCAAGAACATGATCCTTATTTGGCTAAGTGGTAGGTGATCACTGAGTCCCACAAAATTTGCAACTATACCTTTAACAACTTGTCACTAGTAGTTTAAATATTGGATTATAGAAAATAACATGTAATTGCTTCTACATGTTTACTCTATTACCACGAATATCAAATTACGAGCACAATGTTGCTTGACATCATTCGTTAAATTCAGGTTGATAAGCAAAAGATCAACTCCTGAACTGAGCCTCATGCAAGCATGGCTCATATTTTCTGTCAATTTATAATATGATAAGAGGACAAGTAAAATATAACATACTATTTACAAAATTAGGATCTCTTATTAAACTTATAAACAAAACTTAAACAAAAACTCTTAAAATATCAGCCACTAACACTTCAAATTTTAAACACAAAAGGTAATCTCTTACTCCCACTGATTAAAAGAGACAAAATTATATAAATTATTATTACTCCCACTGATTAAGAGAGTAAAAAAAAACTTTGTAAATGTCTACAAAATGAAACAGATACCTTTCCAATACTCCCATTAGCAAGACATTAGTCATGGGATCTAAAACATAAAATTTGTGAGCTCAACATCTTTATTCCAGATATCTGTAGGGAAGTGACTATTGTGACTGAAAAACTATACAAAATCATTTGGTCCGTTTTGTTCATCTAACATTTGACAGAAATAGAAAACTTTAACGGAACGTTTTCTGATTGCATCAAAAGCATATAATTCCAGAATCATCTTTGGACAGAAACTAATTATATTAGGTTTGCATAGCTAAAACACAAAATACAAGGGCAAACATATATAACTTCAACACTTTTGAGCAGATGAAGTATATGCAATCTTGTCAATTTCATGTTTCACTATACATTGATTTATATTGTACTGAATAAGAAAACACTTTTGAGCAGATTAATTATTCATCAATAACATATAAATCACAAGTCCAATTTCTTGAACAACATATAAGAATTAATAAGTAAAACACTTTTGAGCATATATACTCATTAACCATTCTTGAATTTCCTACAAGATTAGTTGCATATGTAACAAATAAAATATAAACAAGTATGATAATGTACGTTTTATCTACCAAAACTATGATCATTAAAAGCATGCAAAATTGATGAGTGTGAAGCCCATAATACATTATTTCTCCCACTTGGGCAAACACTCAAAATTGCAAGATTAAACACTAGAGAAAGTGGTTTTCATATAACAAAATATAGGCTAGTTGAATAAATAAAGATAGTATACACGATCCATTATATAATATAAGATGACAAATTTTTACAAAGTTTGGAGTTAGAAAATCTATCAAAATGGTAATCAAATAGAACACGTTGCAAGGTATGCAAAATTGCAGCAGTATTTCCCAAGCTCTACCACAATTTCAGATTTAATCATAATTTAAATAAAACCAATTTACAATCTTTAATATGCTCAAAACACAAAAAAAAAATTCTTAAATAAATTTGTTGAGTCACAAAATAGTTGGTTTGGACATAATAAACCAATCTATATGTATCAAAATTAGGCTTATATAAGGAACAATATCTCAACATTATTAATCGATCTAAAAGTGACAAGTGATTAGATAAACCAATGGCTACAAAATTTATTTTAGTGTATGAGAGAAGACCCACATATGTGTTAAATATTAGATCATAAATTAAAATGAAACCTAATAAGAGAATCCAAACTCAAAATTTATGTTTTAATTCTAAAACAAAGTCGATTAAAGTAAACACATAGATATCTCAACAACATCAATTTTTTTAATAATAATTTTAATCCAATTTAGAACTCACAGAAAATTAAGGAAAAAGATTGGCAAATTTACCTACTCATTCTTGATTCTGCAAGATTCATCATGGAAGTAGTGAGTTGTGGAGGATCGAACCAACTCCAAATTGCATGATTGTTACACCTTTGGGCAGAAACTAATCATGCAAAGAAAATACCTGCATAGCTAGCCAAAACATAAAATACACAAAATACATATAGCTTCAACAGCTTTGGCCAGATGAAAATATGTTAGAAGTACTTTATGATTTGCTATAATACTAATTTATAATTGGTGAGTGATTTCCTGAAATTCCCATTGGGACAAAGTATTCACCATATAAATTAGAATTCTGATTTTTCAGAATAATCCTTTAGAACAATATTAAATAACCGTTTTGTTGGATATTCAATGATTCTCAAAAGATTCAATCAGACACAAAAGTATGTCGTTGTTGACATTGAACAATAGAGTTCTCGAAAGAGGAAACATGGTTATTCAGTTGTTCGATAGGGACCAAAATGATCAATTAGTAAACTGATGCCACTTTCCAATTTTCTCTCAAAAGACAATTATCATCATAATCAGAATTGATGACCAAACAAAACATTGGTTTAAGCAAAACAAACCAATACATCTTTAAATCAAAATTTAATCAGTGTTGTCTATAAAATTCATTAGTGTTGATAATTTGCATAAAATAAGGACATATTTGAACCTTAAACTTGTATAATAACCGGTACCAATAGATGTGCACAAATCAGTGAAACAATATCACATAACAAAACTAGTTTTGAAGTACCAAAAAATTCAGCAGTACTATTTTAGTGTGCAAATTCACCAAACACTCAATTCTCTTTAGATTGTCATGA